GTATTGAAAATGTGTTGGAAATGTGTTAGAAATGTGTTGGAAATGTGCTGAAAGTGTATTGGAAATGTATTAAAAATGTGTTGGTAATTTGTAGGAAATGTGTTAGAAATGTGTTAGAAATGTGTTGGAAATGGGTGTGGCTTTTTGGAATATCAGATCACGTGTATCATGAAGTGAGAGTGTTGGATGTAGTGTATTTATGCGACTGTATATTTAGGTCTATATGAGTATGAGTAACTTCTCTGTCACCCTTTCTCTCTTTCTCTTTCTCTTTCTCTCTTTCTCTCTCTCTCTCTCTCTCTCTCTCTCTCTCTCTCTCTCTCTCTCTCTCTCTCTCTCTCTCTCTCTCTCTCTCTCTCTCTCTCTCTCTCTCTCTCTGTTATCTATCTGTATACCAATCTACCTACCTACCTATCTATCTATCTATCTGTCTGTCTATCTATTTATCTATCTATCTATCTTTCTATCTATCTATCTATCTATCAGTCACTCAGTCAGTCAGTCCATCAATCCATCTATCTTTTCATCTATTAATCTATCTGTCTATATATCTATCTACCTATCAATATATATCAATTTATCAATACATCTATCTATGCGTTTAGATCTATCTTTCTATCTATAGATATAAATCGATATAGATATAGATATAGATAAACATATATATATATGTATATATATATATATATATATATATATATATATATATATATATATATATACATATTTGCATATAAATATACATGTATAAATGTAAATGTATATATATATATATATATATATATATATATATATAATATATATATATATATATATATATATATATTATATTTATACAAATAGATAGATAGGGAGATAAATAGATAGATAGATAATAAGTATAGATATGGAGATAAATAAACAAATAATAATAATGATAACAATAATGATAATGATAATTAAAAAATGATGATAATAATAGTGATAATCATACTATAACAACAGTAACTAAAATCACTCAGAGAGGCGCATACCTCCGCCAAGGCAATAGGGTCACTGATGCAGTAACAATATTCTCACTTGAAGAATGACATGAATAATGATAATAATTATAGTAATAACAATAAGAATGAAAAGTAATAATGATAATAGTAGCAATGATGATAATGATAATAATAATATTAATAACAATAAGAAAATGTAACAGTAATAATGATAATAGTAGCAATGATGATAATGATAATAATGATAGTAATAACAATAAGAATGATAACAGTAAGATTGATAATAGTAGCAATGATGATAATGATAATAATGATAGTAATAACAATAAGAATGATAACAGTAATAATGATAATAGTAGCAATGATGATAATGATAATAATAATAGTAATAACAATAAGAATGATAACAGTAATAATGATAATAGTAGCAATGATGAATGATAATAATAGAAGTAATGATAATAATGATGACAGTAATAATGATAATAGTAGCAATGATGATAATGATAATAATAATAGAAGTAATGATAATAATGATAACAAAATAATGATAATATAATGTGATAAAATAATAATAATAATGATAATGATAATAATGATAATAATGATAATAATAATAATAATAATGATGATAATGATAATAATAATAATAATAATAATTATAATAATAAGGATAATAATAACTATGATAATTCAAGCACTAAAATGTTTAAGTTGACCCTACCTCGCAATGCTAATGAATCCTTTAAAAAAAATTCCTGGATCCAAATCATTTCATAAAAATCTGGTCATAACTTTTCGAGTTATTCTGCTAACCAGCGAACAAACAAACAGACTAACTAACCAACGCTACAAAAAAAAAAACATGATGATAATGATGATGATGACGAAAATGATGAGTGGTAATAGTTATGACAATAATGATAATAAAGATAATGACAATGACAATAATGATTGTGATAATAGTAATGATAATAATGATGATAAGGATAGTGATAACAATGACAGTAATAATATTAATGATACTAATAGTGATAATGATAATAGTGATAACAATGATAATAATAATAGTGATAACAATGATAGTAATACTAGTAATGCTACTAATAATGATCATAATAATGATAATGATAACAGCAAAAGTAAAGATAATAACGATAATAGCACCACCACCAAGAAAGAAAGAAAGAAAGAAAGAAAAAAGAAAGAAAGAAAAGAAAGAAAAAAAAAGAAAAAGAAACAAACAAAGAAAAAAGAAAGAAAAAAAGAAGAAAGAAAGACAGAAAAAGAAAAACAAGAAAACAAGAAAGAAACAAAAAACAAAGAAAAAGAAAGAAAAAAAAAAAAGAAGAAAAAAGACGACCACTCACCGTCGACGCATCCGAGACCCACATTGGGATAGTCGTCCATGAGGTAGCCTTCCCGGCACACACAGATCCTGCTCGGGCCACAGAAGCTGTAGGGGTCGGTCTCCTCGCACTGGCTCGTGAACTGGCATGTTGTGTTGAGTTTGGCCTCTGCGGGGGAGAGAGAGAGAGGAGGGGGGTGAGAAAGGGAGGGTGGAGGGGAGAGAGGGAGGGAGATAGGGTTTATATACATACATACACAGATACAGACACACACGAAGAGACAGACACACACGAAGACACAGACACACACGAAGACACACACACACACACGAACCGTATTCATGTTGACAAATTGTATTGTGAAGATATTCGTTCTCATTCATACCTTTCCACGCACACACACACACACACATACACACACACACACACACACACACAGACACACAGCCACAGCCACACTAACACACACACATACACACACGCACACACACACACACACAAAGACAGACACGCACACACATACACACACATTCACACAAACATATCAAAAAACATATATATGTGTAAATACTCGTATACAATATACATAACACTTGCTGCCTTAATCTTGAGCTTAATTTCCCAATCTGTCCTGTTTAATCAATTTTTTTTTAAAATTAAGAACCAATAGAGAATTTCAATGATGCCCTTGATTAGGCGAAAACGATAAAGAATTAGAGACAATTAGCATCCTGAATTGACAGTTTCACATTGGCAATTAGACTCGCAGCAACTATTTTCTCTTAAAGATTAAAAATAAGGAATGGAATTAATAGATGGTGAATTATATATATATATATATATATATATATATATATATATAATATAATATATATATATATATATACATATATATATATATATATATATATATATATATATATATATATATATATATATATATATATATACATATATACATATATATATATATATATATATATATATACATAATATATATATATATATATATATATATATATATATATATATATATATATATATATAGTATATATATATATATATAATATATATATATATATATATATATATATATATATATATATATATATATATATATATACATACATATATTATATATATATATATATATATATATATATATATATATATATATATATATATACATACATATATATATATATATATATATATATATATATAATATTATATATATTATATATAGAGAGAGAGAGAGAGAGAGAGAGAGAGAGAGAGAGAGAGAGAGAGAGAGGAAAGTTCATACAATTTTCACATAATCCAACATCGTCCACATGGAAGACGAAGAAGAAAAAACACATGAACAATAATAACAACAAATACAAAACAAAAACAAAGTATCAAAACATAACCATTCCCAAACCAGAGACCTGAACCCAGCCGCAAGAAATAAAAAAATACCAAAAAAAGTACCCACGAACTCAGAAACTCAGATACCTCTTTTCCCTCCTTCACTCTTTCACTCTTTCTCTCTTTCTCTCGTCCTCTCTTCCCTCCTTCACTCTTCTCTCTCTCCCTCGTTCTCTCTCTCTTCTTCTTTCTCTCCCTCACTCTTTTCTCTTTTCCTCTTCTCTCTTCCCTCCTTCACTCTTTCTCTCTTTCCCTCGTTCTCTCGTCCTCTCTTTCCCTCCTTCACTCTTTCTCTCTTTCCTCGTTCTCTCTTTCCCTCCTTCACTCTCTTTCTCTCTTTCCCTCCTTCACTCTTTCTCTCTTTCCCTCCTTCACTCTTTCTCTCTTTCCCTCCTTCCTCTCTCTTTCTCTTTCTTTCTCTCTTCCCTCTTCACTCTCTTTCTCTCTTTCCTCCTTCACTCTGTCTCTCTTTCCCACCTTCTCTCTTTCTCTCTTCCCTCCTTCACTTTCTCTCTTCCCTCTTCCTCTTCTCTCCTTCACTCGTTCTCTCTTTCCCTCCTTCACTCGTCCTCTCGTCCTCTCTTTTTCCCTCCTTCTCCTCGTCCTCTCTTTCCCCTGCTTCACTCTTTCTCTTTCTCTCTTTCCCTCCTTCCCTCGTTCTCTATTCCTCTCTTTCCTCCTTCACTCTTTCTCTCTTCCTCTCTTTCCCTCCTTCACTCTTTCTCTCTTTCCCTCGTTCTCTCGTCCTCTCTTCCCTCCTTCACTCTTTCCCTCCTTCCCTCTTTCTCTCTTCCTCTCTTTCTTTCCCTCCCAAGCAACCACATCGACAACCATGATTCGCGCAAATACCCCCTTCACTTGACATTAACCTCAGCCCGCTCCACAAATCAAAAAGTAACTGCTATCGAGGTGGAGTGGAAGTACGCTTTCTGAATAGAAAACCGATTGTGGGCGAATCATCTGTCAATTTCCGAATTTGGTGGCTCCGGAGAGAGTTTTTGGAACTGTATCAACATAGTGATGGTATTGTGTGTGTGTGTGTGTGTGTATGTTTGAAAGATAGAGAGGAATACGTGCATATATACGCGGGGATACGTGTGTAAGTAGTTGGATTCTCACGCGCATTGGTGTACACTGATATGCATTCATGTGGTCATATATGCACACATGATCGCATACATGTATAACTAACTACACACACACACACACACACACACACACACACACACACACACCACACACACACACAACACACACACACACACACACACACACACACACACACACACACACCACACAACACGAACGTATAAAAGCATCTTTACTACCCAAAAACGTACACACAGATCTGAAACTCTATACATGACTCAGGAACAACAAAACTCACACACACACATACGTACACAAGATCCTGACTCTACGCAACAACAACAACAAAAATCCAAAGAACACACACACAAACACACACACACACACACACACACACACACACACACACACACACACACACACAACAAACAAACATGTACACACACACACCTAAACCAACACATCACAGTACACAAAACCCTGACACACCTCAACAACAACAACACAACCAAACAACGCATATAAACAAAAATCTCGCAATATTGCACTCCCGACTTGAACTGGCAATCCCTTGATAAACATAAACACCCAAACAAGAGCCAGTTGCCACACGACCAGCTTAGCTTCTAAACAAAACCCTGATATTTATGGCCGCGTGAAATATGGCATAGCATTTTCTCGTCGCCTTTCTTATGCGGTGAGTACACATAAGCTATGAGGAGTTTTGCAATAGAGGGAGAGGGTGGTGTGGTGGTGGTGGTGGAGGGGAGGGGGGTGTATGGGTAGTAGTGGTGGGGTGGGGTTGGGTGGGTGGGTGGGAGTGAAGGCAATATTCTTGGATCTTTTTTATATTGATATTATTGTTATTGTTGTATTATTATCATTATTATTGTTATTTAATTATTATTATTATCATTATTATTGATTTATTATTATCATCATTATTATTTTATTGTTATTATTATTTATATCATCATTATCATCATTATCATTATTAATTATTTTATCATTATTATTATTATTATTATTATTACCATTATTATTATTATTATTATATTATTATTATCATTATTAATCAATAATTATTATCATTATTATTATTTATATTGTTATTTCATTATTATAATTAGCATTATTCATTGTTATTATTTTATGAATTGATTATCTTTATTCCTTGTCAACTGGAAGGTCATAACTACCATTGTATTGTTTGTCATTGTATGTATTCATTTATCTTTATATATTTAAATTTAGAATACTTTTAAGAAATAAATAATAATGATAAATAATATAATAATAATAATAATAATAATGATAATAATAATGATAATAATAATAATAATAATAATAATAGATAATGATAATGATAATGATAATGATAATATAATAATAAAATAATAATGATAATAATATAATAATATAATAATAATAATAATGATAATAATGATAATAATGAATAATAATGATAATAATGATAATAATATAATAATAATAATAATAATAATAACAATCTTTCTGTTCTTCCCCTCCCCCTTCCATTTTTTCTTTTCTGTCTCCTCCTGGTCTTGTTTTATTCTCCTCTCTCTCTTTTCATCTTTTATCTACTTTTGTTATTATTTTTTTTTCTTTTTCTTTATCAAAGCAGCAAATTTATCGTAGTATGTACCCTGTATCGAATGCCATTATTAATTCAAATATTCATTACTAATTCGCAAGTATTTTCTAGAACCTGTAAAGTGACAATATTTTCAAAAAATAATAATAATGATAATAAAAAAAATAATGATAAATAATAATAAAAAAGATAATATTAATGATAATAATAATAATGATAATAATAAAATAATAATAATAATATAATATAATAATAATAATAATAATAATAAATAATGATAATAATAAGTAATAATAATAAAGATAAAATAACAAAAATCTATCTCACCCAACGTCACTTAAATAAACAAATTACAACACATAAGATATTTCTGCACCCTCAACCTTCCTAAAAAGATAACCTAAATTCGACCTTAAATGTTCTTTCTTTAGGGATCTCTCTGCCTTGCTCAGCTGTATATCTTTCCCCTTGGATGAGTGAGCGAGAGAAAACCTGGTTGTATTTTTGAAGCGTTTAAGATTAAGAGGAGGCCGGGTGGATGGGAAGGAGATAAGGAGGAGGAGGAAGGAGGAAGAGTAGGAGGAGGTGGTGGTGAAAGGGGAGGTGGAAGAAGAAAAAGGAGGTGGGAGGTGGAGGGAAGAGGAAGTGGAGGAGGAAGAGGAAGGAAGGGGGTGAAAGGGGAGGTGGAGGAGGAGGGAGTGTTTGAAAGGGGAAGGTGGAGGAGGAAAGAAGAGGAAGGAGGAAGAGGAGGAGGAGGGGAGGAGGTGAAAGGGGAGGTGGAGGAGGAAGAGGAAGAAGAAGGAAGGTGGAGGTGGAGGAAGAGGAAGTGGAGGAGGAAGAGGTAAGGTGAAGGAGGAGAAGAGGAGGAGGAGGAAGAGGAGAACCGGGTGATGGAAGGGGATAGGAAGTGGAAGGGGAGGTGGGACGGAAGAGGAAGAGGAAGGAGGATGTGGAGGAGGAGGAAGAGGAGGAGGAGGAGGTGGAGGAGAGGAGGAGGAGGAGGATGTGGAGGATGAGAAGGCGGCGAGGGGAGGTTGGAAGAAGAGAGGAGGAA